AATTATTTCTCCTGGTGAGGTCTTTTTTAAAAAGTACCCACATATGAGAAGCCTAATGTCAGTTTACAGTTACAGAGTTGGCCAAAGCCTGGAAAGCAGTTTGATTCTGACAGGCTCTCTCTCTGTGAACCTTTCCCTTCACCTTCATATTAATTAGAAAGTGTTTACATTATCTGGTATTGAATGAGAATTCCTTCTTTCTTGCTATGATGGCTGACAGGGGAGGTGTATTCCTCTTACATTCTGCCTCTGTACAGATAAATGAAAATAAGTATTTTCGAAGCTGTTTCTAGACTCAAGTGTAGGCAGATGCTAAAGATGTGATTCTAATGTCTAAATCATTTCCTTTGTTCCAGTAAGCAGGACTATTTCTCTGACAAGATACTATCTTTACTAACTATCATGTGAAAACATTACCTAAAAAATTCATTTAGGACAAACAAGATTGGAAATTTCTATCACTGACAATTACACAGTTTTGCTGTCTTTACTTGTGAAAAGCTCTGGAATTCTGATTGTATGTCTTGAAAAACTAAGAACAGACCACTTTGCACTCCCCAATTTGGTCCCCTTTAGCGGTCCTAGACTTTCGAGAAGGTCTCACATTAGGTAACTTTGCATTTTGAAACCCAAGCCCTTAAAGGTAGCAGTTTCACAAGTGCTTCTTTACTACTCTGCATTTGAAGCAAGATTTCATGACTGTGCCATAAAATCAAGCAAATATAAGAAATTTTGTAAGAATTTTTAATAAACCCTTCTCAAAGAAAAAACTTTTTAGAAATACAAATAACTGCTATTTTTTTTAAAAAAAGTAAGTTCTGTTCTGAGACTAAAGACAAGCCAAAAATGACTATGGGGTATTTTTGGTCTAAAATTTGTGTAAGCCAGAACCATCCAAAGAGCAAGACAATAAGGAGTGGCTTGCAAGTGCTATACTCTTCAGGGTCAGGAAAGCAGGGGTTCAACCCTGGGGGACAATCTTTGACATATGTTTTACTTCTTCATCTTCTGTAACATGGAGACAATTTTTTTTGAAAAGCCAATTATAGAGGGGAACTGAGAATTAAAAAATAAGAGACTACAATAAAAATGCTTAAATGCTTGGTATATAATTAGTCATCAGTATGGTTATTATTCTCAAATGTCCCATAGAATGGCTAATTTTACTATTTTGAATAAAAGAGAAACATTCTGAAAAAATATAAATTCCTTATCTCTACCTGAAGATTAATGTCTTCTTTATAGACTTTGTTTATTTTCAGAGGGGATTTCATAATTTTTGTAACCAGAATTTATTATAAAAATACAGTTTGGAATTTGTGTTGGTTTTTTTAAGACAAGGTCTCACTATGTAGTTCAGGCTGGGCTTGACCTCACTACGAAGCCCAGGCTAACCTTGAACTTTTTGACAATCTTCCTGTCTCAGCCTCCTGAGTGCTGGGATTACAGATATGTGCCACCACACCTGGCTAAAAAATAATCATTAAGAAAAAATATGTTGTTAAAGTCTTCCAAATGAATAGTGAAAACATAATTTTTCTTTGTATAACTTGCTCCTTACGGACCTATTATTTATAGTTATACTGTGGATTAAATTGTCATTGGTAATTTCCCAGACAGCAAGACAGTTCTAAATAAGCCAGAACATCAAAAAGAGTAAGTATATAAGTATATAATTGAGTGAGAGCTCTTAAATACTCCTGGTTATATTTTAATTGGCTCAATCTTCATGCCAAACAGTTTGGCAATTTGATACTCATTTAAAGCCACAAAAATGTAAATAACATTGGACTCAATAACCGAAGAGATAGTACATACATTTTTCCCTTTTTTTTTTTTTTTTGGTACTGGGGATTAAACTCACAACCTCACAAGGCAGGCACTTGTGACTGAGCTATATCCTCAGCTCCATCTTTTAAAGTAATAGCTTTAAGGCTATTTAGTTTACATACCATACAATTTATCCATTTAAAATTTTCAATTCACTGGGGGTTGTTTATTTTAGACAGAATCTTAGTATGTAGTTCACCCTGGCCTTGAACCCTCTATGTTGTCCAGCTTAGCCTTGAACTCAAAATGACCCTTGTGCCTCATAGCCTCCTAAGTGCTGGGCTCACAGGCATGCACAACCATGCTTGGCTCATTGGTTTTTGATATATTGAGCATTACCATCACCATGATCAATTTGGGAACATTTTCACCACCTCAAAAACAAACTCCGCACCTTTAACTATCATGCCTCAATCCAATGTCATGCCTCAGCTTTATGCAATCACTCTCATCTACTTTCTATCTCTACAGCTTTGCCTATTCTTAACATTCATAGAAATAGAACCACAAATATGGTCTTGTATGACTGGCTTGACTTGGCACATTTTCAAAGATTATCCACATTATACCACGTTTCTTTTCTCTGAGAAATATTCCATTGAATAAATATGACATACAATTATTAACTGATGTGTGTCCTAGTTTTGTTATAATAAAATAACTGGGATTGGGTAATATGTGGAAAGAAGAAATAGGGTGGGGTTTTTTGTTTGTTTGTTTTGGCTAATGGTTCTGAAGTCCAAGGCACGGTGCTGGATTCTGCTTCACTCCCAAAGAAGGCCTCACAGTGGGAGAGAGACTGGGTACCTGTGGAAGAGTGGAATGGATTACACGCAAGAGAGCCAACTGAGAAACAACTCCCTCTGCGACAACTTCTTTCAAGAACTAAGGCATTCCCGTGAGAACTAATGCAGTCTCTGAAGAAAGCCATTTGTCCCTCTCAAAAGACCTCGTGCCTCTCAGCATTAATACTTTGGGAAAACTGGTCACAATATAGGCTTTGTTGGGGACAAACCATATTCAAAGATTCAGAGATTTGGCTTGTTTCACATTTGCTGAATGTTCATAATGCATGTAAATTTTGCATGGATATATACTTTCATTTCTTTAAGTATACACCTAGGAGTACAACTGTATTATTGTGTGCATGACACACGCATTGCTGGACAATCAAATACATGCTCTTGTGCATTCTATGCAAGCGCATTACTACTGAGCTACACTGCCACCCCTCTCATGCTCCAACAAGAAAATTCTCAACACCCTCAGTATGGTGTTACCCTCTTCATAGAGTATTTCCAGAAAAATGTTGGCTATGCAAAATGAAGACCACGATACAGAAAAAGGCTGCAGGAAGTGAAAACAGCAGGGCACAAATGTAATTTACTTGAAATCCTTCCAGGGTCTCTCAAGGAGCTTTCTATTCTCTACTAGTCCCATGTAATCTATCCTCTGCCTTCCGTTTCGGCCTCAGCTCGCTCCCCATCAATTCTGTAAGGACCAAGCACACTGGTTTTTTTGTGGTTTTTATATTTGCTTCAGAGTTCCTACACATGTTGCGTCCTCTGCCAGTACTATTTTATTCTTTGCTCACTGGTTTCAAGTCTCATCTTAAAAGTTATTTCAGAGAAGCCGTCTCTGCTAAACCAAACTAGGCAAGAGGTGTTTCCATAGCAGCCTGCACTTTTCAGTCTTACTATTACTGTCTGATACTGATCATTATTTATTCAGTCAGCAATCAAACACTGACAGCCTTTTACACACACAGCAAAGATTCCTGCCGCCTGTGAGCTTATATTGTAGAAAGGGCGCACATGCACAAGTAAACAAATCAATGCATACGGTAACTGAGATACTCCTTCAAGACTGGAACTATTTCAGTCTTGGTTATTTCGAGTCTGCCAGAGTCTAGCAGCTGAATAAGCACAACACTACTTACTTTTTCCAGTGACTATTAAAATAGGCATATAGAAGACAAAAATGGAAAACACAAAGGAGGTCACTTCTTTAAATGTTTAAGGGTTTCCCCCTTTTCCAAGGCTTTTTGTAAGACTACATATTCTTTTTGTCTTAACAGCAATAAGAAAGATAAGCAAAAATTGCCGTTTGTAGTGGAAAAAAAAAAAACTCCAGCTAAAACATGTTTATGTTGCCACAAACGCGTTTCAGCCCTAATGACAAGTCCCTACCAGAAGCCCAAACCCCGCGCCTAGCGGGCGGCGACCCCGAGCACCGAGGGGTGGCCGCAGCGTTCAGGAAGCCTCTCCACTCCGCGGTGCGGGAACCTACGAATCTAATCACACGTCAATGGTAAGGAAACACGCAATTATCTGAAAGGTCAACAAAGGAGGCAAGACGTTTATACAACAGCCTGCCAGCTCTTCTCAACCAAGTTCCCCTATAAGCTCCGGAGCTCAGTTGGGTGGCCAAAGGCCGAGCGCCCACGGTGCGGAAACAACGGACCACCGAATGCCCATCCCCCCGCCCGAGCTCGCTCCGCTTCTTTCTTCCCCGAGGCGCATGCGCAGCGCACTCTCCGGGCCCCGCACACCTCTCCTGCTATCCGAGAAGAGGGTGACGTCATCTCTCGGCGGCTTGATCCTTCCGCTCCAACAAGAAACGAGTCCGCGCACCTTTGCTCAATTTCTGCCCAAGGACAGTATGCTCCCTCCTTCCTCCGTAGTGCTCACGACTTCCCCTGGTCCTTCCTGGCCACCCAGCGACGTCTTCTTACGCTTGTTGGTCCGGGAAGGTGGCGGGAAGGGAAAAGGGGGCGGGAGAGAGGCAGGTCGCATTGTTTACAAAGCGGCCGCAGTCTGGATTGGTCCGCGAGGGCGGGGCCAGGTGGCTGGATCTCCTTCCCCTCCCCAACCTTCCCGCGGGCGGACGCGGCGGCGCCTCGCTCTCGCCTTTTCTTATTTTTTTCCCCCCTTCCCCTTTCCTTTTCTTTTCTTTTTCCCCTTTCCCCCCTTTCACCATTTCCCCTCGGAGGCGCTTCCCCCGGGCAGGGGCCGAGCCGGTCTCACCCCCCGCCTCTCCCCTGCCCCCGCCGCCCTATGGCGAGAGGGAGCCCCCTCCTCACCGGGGCAGTGGCGGCGGCGGCGGGCACAGGCCCGGGGTCGTCATGGAACTGATTCGCTGACGACCCCGGCCGCAGCCGTGCGTTCCGCTCGCGCCCTGCGACCCCGGCCCGGCCCCCCTTCTCCCTCCTTGGCCTGCCGGGTCCTCGGTCCGCGCGCCCCGCCGCCGCGCGCGGAGGGAAAGAGAAGGTGACGCCCCGGATGCCCCCGTGTCACCCCTGGGAGGCCTACTGCTCCGCCAAGGGAGAGGAGGAGGAGGAGGAGGAGGTGAGAGCGAGGAACCGCCGCGTTGCTTCCGGAACTCAGGACGCCCGCGCGTCCGGCACCTGCTCCTCTACAGAACGGTGGCGCGGGGCTTGCTTGCAGCAGATGTTCCCGTCAGCCCGTAACTTTTCTGTAGCTGCAGCGCGGTGTCTGTCCCGGGGTGCGTCGTTTGCTTGCACAAAGCGGGAACGCGCCCCCATTCCCAGACTCCTAACACCCTAGGGGCCCTTGAAACCTAACTTAGCCTCCTGGTCTGGGTGGATTGGGCGAAGCGCCAGTGCAATGGAATGGTGCGGGGAGGAGAGCGTTGGCTGGGACTGGTCGGGCTGTAGAAAACGTGAGCTTTGAGTTGCACCCTGAGGAACAGGTAAAAATCCCGGATTTTGAAATCGGCCAGAAGTCTTTTGTTGAGCTAGGGGTTCCGTTGCAGATCATTTTTGCAGGAGTTGAGAATTGGGTAGCAAAGTAATGTAAGGTCTCTGTCAGGAGGTAGGACACATTTAGACGGAAGGATTTTGAGTATTGAGAAGCATATTTCGTTTTTATTCTGTCGATGAAGAGCCACTCAGCGCTTGAGCAGCAACACTTGATGAGGCTTATTATCTGCCAAGCACTGTTCTTCGTGGTTTGCAACTCCTTTCAGTCTCTCAAGGAGTCGTTGATGATGGGAAAAGCCTCTTTTACATGCGAGAAAACTTGAGACTGACCCCACAAGATTAAGTAACCTTTATTTTTAGATAACTTTTTTTTTTTTTAGCTATCAGAACCCGCTGGTCAGAATTCAGTCTGTTATGCTACGTGGTCTCTGTCCTGAAAATGAATTTGTCGGAAAGATTAACAGTAGTGTTACCATTTTCTAGTGGGAGTTTATATGCCACAGAAAAGAGCAGACAAATAGAGTAAGAAAGAGCGGGTGGGATTTAAATTGGCTAATCTGGGGGGGAGAGTAACCATAGTCTTGAAAAGTTTCTTAATACTGGTTTCTTATAGTGATTTTGGAACGGCAGATTGTAGACATGATCTTAGTTAGAGATGATGAGGATTTGACCTAGTGAGACCTAGAGAACTCTGCTGCACATCCTTGTCAAAATTGGACCCTGTGTGCGTGGTTTACTCTGTGTAGTACTTCAAAAATGATTATTCATCTTTCTGTGCATGCGTGTTCATGTTTAAATCCAATTTAATAAGGATTACATGAACTTTCGAGCTTTCGACGACAGCAGACCAAATACGTGATAAACATTTAGTGAATGTAACCTATTATTAAACACGATGCTAAACTTTGAAAAACGAGTGCCATCCAGGAACTCACGGTTTAGTAGAAAAGGTGGGTCTACAAATGCAGAAAGTAGAATTATGTCCAAAATTAAATGTAGAAAGGCAGCATACAACTGCATTAGTTCCAGAGGGTACTATTATAAATTGATGCCAATTTTAGGCAAGAAAGTTTGAGGTAGAGAAAGACATTTCAAGTTGAAAACAGTACATAGAAAGGCATGATGAAAGAGCACACTGTTTTTGAAACTAGAATACCCTATAGTGTCTCATTGCTAGTGCTTAAAATCAAGGAATGAATTGTAGAACTTTACATTCTTAGGGTCACAATAAATTTCTCTTTTTAAAAGAGGAACTAAGAATCCAGAGTTCTTAGTAATACAGTGATTACGTATTAGTGAGGTTTATTTTGTACGGGACTGTGCCACACACTTCCTCAGAAAAGGAGCACCAGTAAGTGTATCTGTATTACCGCTTATGCTGTGCAATAAGCATTTTATAAACTTTTGAGTCAGAAATTAGGGTATTTGGTAAGCATGGAGAAAACATGGTGCAGTTGAGAGGATGGGAAGAGAAAGTTGAAACTATCTTGAACTTGTGTGTGGAATATTGCAAAATTCAGTTTGAGCATTCCTAATTTGAAAATAAATGCTCCAAAATCCAAACATTTTTAATGCTGACCTGAGGCCATAAGTGGGCAATTCACAGCCTGAAAGTTTGTTCCATGACAAAATTACTGAAATCTTGCCCCAAATTACCTTCAGGCTATATATTTAAGATGTGTATAAATGAATTTCTTGCTTTAAGTTTGGTCCCAGATAGCCCTAAACCTAGAAAAATCTGAAACACTTATGATGCCAGGCATTTAGGATAAGGCATACTAAGCCTGTATAATTTTTTGTTTTTATTAGCTAAAAAGCAATCAGAATTCTCCATATAACTAAGAATATACATTAATGTAATACTGTTATACAGCTATGTTAATAAGAAATAAAATTGTATTTTGTTTTATTCCTTATCTAATAATCTGTTTTAACCATAAAATAGGCTTGTGCATAGTCCTTAAAAGAAGTAACTGAAACCCATATTGTATGAAGATAGTTTCTGCTTCACTGGCATTCTAAAAAGCAGTGTAAAAAATAGTGACTTCCATATATTATGAGTATTTGGTCTTTTATGCTTTGTTTTCTTTTTTTCTCCCTGGTGTGTGTGTGTGTGTGTGTGTGTGTACCAGGGATCAAACTTGTGACCTTATGCTTTCATATACTGTGTTATAATCCTCTTAAAATTATCAGTGTATGAATCATAAGCATAAGGATATGTTGTTACAGAATCACAGTTTTCAATTTTAATAAATTTAGCACGGATTTACTTTTGCATGATCTGCTGTCCGTGTTATATTTGTGTCATTTGAACTAGCAATGACATTTACAGCATTTATGTTCCTCCACTTCAGGAGTGAATCAGGTTAGATATAGTGTATGCTAACATTTTTAAAACTATAGCCTCATTTAGTCTGAAGCATATCCACAGTTGTGCAACACTGACTTGTTTTCATTTTTTTATTTGCATTGTTTTTAATATTTTTAAAAGGTTAACAAAATTGAATACTTCTTACATTTACCTAGTGCAAGCAGAATTTTTTTAAAAATCAGTAGTGTACTGTCTTATGTTAATTGATGTGTTCTTTTTACCACTGAACAAGTCTTGCAATTATTATGTTGCAGAATTTAGTTTGTTGATATTTTGTTGAAGAATTTTACATCTGAGAGATAATTTTCTAGTGATGCTTGTCTGGTTTTAGTAGGATAATAATTGGGCTGTACGATTTGTTGTGAAAGTTTCCTCTTGTTTTTTGAAAGTTTATAAAGAATAGTATTAGCTTTTCTGTAAATATTTTGTAGTTCAACCAGTGAAGTCATGTAGGCATCACTTTTTCTACAGTATTTTTTTTTAAACTAGTGAAATAAATGTTATTTAATAGCTGTTCAGCTTTTAATAAGTTTGGTGGTTTGTTGTATTTCTAGGCTTAGCCATTTCTTCTGTATTGACAGATTCATCTACATATAATTTAAATTTCATTTTTGTCTTTTTGTATAGTAGGTAGAAATGTCCTTTTATCTGTGATTTTAATAGTTTATCTTTTATGTTTATTTCTTGGTCAGTCTAACTTCAGGTTGACCAGTATTAATCGTTTTAGAGAATCAGTTTTTTATTTTGCTGACTTTTCTCTTTAATATGCTATCTCCACAAATTTTGCTAAGTCTATATAGTAGTACCAACCAATGAAAATACTGATACAGCAAAAACATTCTGTATTAATATCTACTCTAATATTTGTATCTGTCTTGCTTTAGCTATAGTTTACTCTTCTTTTAGGCTGGCCTTAAACTCACAATGATCCTCCCACCTCAGCCTCCCAAGTGCTGGGATTACAGGTGTGTGCCACCATGCTCAGCCCATTTTTTGGTGGGTTGTTTTTTTGTTTGTTTTTAAGACAGGGTCTTCCTGTGTAGTTCAGACTGGCCTTGAACTCACTGTGTAGCCCAGACACTTTACAGCAGTCCTCCTATCTCAGCCTCCAAAGTTTTATAGGATTCTGTTACAGATGTTTTTCTCTGTTCTCATCTATACCTGCTAACCATAAGACTTAGGAGTCGTAAGACTCAGAAGTCTTTTAAGGAGAAAATAGTCCTTAACTGGCAACCATTTGTTGGGTTGTATTGAGAAAGCTAATGAATCCTGGTGAACACTCTGTTTGGGGTAACCAGTGGCATGGAAACATTTACTAAATAACATGTTTTTGATGACAGTTCAAACATTACAGACTAAAGTTAGATTGGGAAGAAATCTTAGAGCCTACAAAGTCCAATCTTCATCTAATAATAGTGTTCTTCTAAATATCTCTTAATGGATAGTAGGCTCGTGTTCACAGTGCAGTTGTAAGGTTAATATTTATGATTATTTTAGAGGAAATTATAGTGAATCTGCCCATCAAATTGTAAAAGAGCTGAGGCAAGTTCTAAACAACAAAATTGGAATGTCAGAATATCTTGGTAAAATACAACTGTGGATGGACTGTAATAAGGTAACTTTTTTTTTAAAGAAAGAGTACTCTGGATTCTGAACATTCTTAAGGATGTACCTCCCTTAAGACCCTCCTTTCATGCACACCCCCCCCCCCACACACACTCTGTAAGGTGGGGTAGAGGCAGATGGAGTTGGCCTCACAATGAACCTGAGAAAGTCTTTAAAAGTTTTAGTTGAAGCTGAGCATGTGACACTCACCTGTAATGATAGCACTCCGGAGGCTGAAGCAGGAGAATCACTGCCTGCCTGGGATAAATAATGAGTTCAAGGCCAGCCTGAACTATATAACGTACCGTTTATCTAAAAAAAAAAAACAACAAAAAGTTTTCTTTGACCATAAATTTCATCTGAATTGAAAATGTAGAATTGGAGCTGCTATAAAAGAGCCAAAATGTCATGTGAGGAACAGTTTCTCACCTATGAAAAAGGTGAATCAGTGAGCTTGATAAGCAGCTTTCAGACATTTGAAGGACTGACTGTGAAACTGAAATTTGACTTGGATTGGATTGTGGTTGTATGTTTTTAGTTTTGACCCCAGTGTTTAAACTTAAATTACTTGTGCGATTCCTGTTTTATTGATAGTATTGTGCTTTGTGCACAGTGAGTAATAAAAAGATGATATTGGCAGATATAACCAAAGAAAAACTTTTAAGGTAGTTAGGGAGACAGTGGATAGCTGCTCTCAGAACGAACTCATATCTGGCTAGAAAATCAAGATAAAATAGGCCTTTTAAGTATCCTTTACCTCCCTTTATTTACCTTTTTTTTTTATTAGTATGAAAATATTTCATGCTCACCATTGAAAAATTGAGAAAACTCAAGAACTTAAGCACACTGTCTTGTTTTGATTGATTTTATTCGAATGTTTGGTTTGGTAGTATCAAATATAGGCAACTACTTTGAAGACAGTAAGATTCACTATGATACCCATTCTGATTTGACTGTTAATCTTCTTTTGAAGTCCTATAATATCTCCAATGTTTTGTTTTTATTGATTTTGTACTGTAATGTTAAATTCAATTTATTGCATCTAATGATGTGGGCAATTCTATTGAAGATAACAAGAGACATGGTAACCATTGCTCATCACCCTGTATTTTGGTTTTAAGTCATATACTATGTCCATCCTTTTGTTTTCTCTCATTTGGTTTTATTCTCTTCAAAAAAAAAAAATTTAAAGAAGCAAAAAACAGGGCTGGGGATTTAGCTCAGTGGCACAAGTGCTTGCCTTGCAAGCAGGCAGTTGTGAGTTTGATCCCTGGTACCGGTAAAAACGAAAAAAAAGACACACACACAAAAAGAAGCAAAAAGCCAGGTGATATGGTGGCATATGCCTGTAATTCCAGCACTGGGAATGCTGAGGCAGAGGACTGCCATGAGTTGAAGGCCAGCCTGGACTACATAGTGAGTTCAAGGCCATCTTGAATTATGGAGTAAAACCCTGATTCCAAAAAAAAAAAAAAATCATAAGCTGGTTAAATGGAGGTAGTCTAGATGGAGTATGTGGTATAGCAGGACAGAAGATAGTAGCTTGAATTGGGACAGAATGCGAAAATTGAAAAAGGTTTATTTGTTCATATTTTTAATTTTATCAAAAATTTGTAACTATGTGTGTTGATTCTGGACATTTGAAAAACAGCAGTTACCTGCTTTGAACCTTTTTCTCCATTCTCTCACTCTGGAAGTTAGCTTTTTAAAACTCATAACCTACTTTTCTGTTTTTTAAGAGCACATTTTTAAGTAACTTGCCCTAATGGTGTATTATGGTATATAGTTTTAAATACTATCTGTGGTTTTCCTATTGTTAAAGATAAGGCTTTCATTCTACCTTCTGCTAACATTTGTACTTGGATCTCATCCTCCTGACATAACCTTTTCACAATATTTTTGAAATCTTTATATTTGATACTTTAATTGTTAGGTAAATCTTGTGATAAATTACTTTGTGGAACTTTTTTGTGAAACTACTTTTTTAGTTGTTTAGCTTTGAAGAATAAAACTATATTTTCATATTCTTCAGCAACTTGTAAATGCAGTTTTCTATAATAGTCATGCTTCTCAAATCTGTAGGTTTTGTTTTGTTTTTTGTTTTTTAAATCTAGAAACATCTCTTAAACCCAGTTGCCCTGCTCTAATCTAAACTTGCTTTCTTAGAGGACAAGTAACTCTGCTGAACTTTCTAGATCAAGTTCTGCCCAGTAGAACTTTCTGCATTGATAGAAAGGTTTATTTTTCTATACTGCCCATTATAGTATCCAGTAGCCACATTGTTTTAAAGTAGAGCTTTGAGTAAGTATATTTTTAACTGTTTAATTCAAATTGAAGTAGCCACATGTGAACACACAGTTTTCCCCCCCTGGTGCCAGAGATTAAATCCAGGGACCTGTGCTGTACCCCACTGAGCTATACTTCCAAACCTCAAGCACAATTTAAGATTGTTTCATTGTGAAGAAGTGGGAATGGATTGGACTTGATGTAATGGATACAACTTTTTAAATGAAAACAATTGATTTCTACTTTTTAGGAGGAATGTTTGGGACAACAAATTCTAGATATATCTAGTATTAAACCAGTGACTTAAAATTTTTTTTTTTTGTCAGTTTTGCATTTAGATCAGAGTTCAAGTTTTGTTACATAGCTTTGTTCTCTTTATGGCTACATTTCAGATTTAAAGTGAGAATGTTTTAGGTAACTGATTATTATAACACTTTAATAGATTTTAAAGAGTTGTAAAATCTTATATTGCCTTAGAACATTCTTATTTTGCCTTATGAATTGCTTAATAAATACCAGCATACTTTTATATATGTGCATATATTATACTTACCCTATAATTAAATAATAAGCATTATTTATATTTGATTTTATAGGTAGTTACATCAAGCTGGGTGGCAGGCAGATCCCAAAGGATATCATGAAGTTTCCAGGACCTTTGGAAAACCAGAGATTGTCTTTCTTATTGGAAAAGGCAATCTCTAGGGAAGCCCAGATGTGGAAGGTGAATGTGCCGAAAATGCCTACAAATCAGGTAATGATTTCTTTCTTTAGATAGATGAATTTTACTAGACATAAGTGTACTAGTGCACACATTAAATACTATTTTGACACTGCTGTAGAAATGTGTACCATTATGGACATGTTTTATATTTTATTTGAGGAATTTCTCTTTGATTCTAAGAATAAGAACTAGTTTTATTGGCTTGTTTTGTTATCTGAGTTACAGTTTTCTGAAGATAGTTATGCCCATTCACTTTCCTCATAATCTAATATTAGCAACAGTAAGTTGTTTTTATTTCTAGTACAGAGTTAGGGAAGTAGAACATCTTCATACAATTATCCTTTTTTTGCTTCTTAACTAGTACATTTTTGCAGTACATAATGATTACTTTCATCATGGGGAGCTGATTCGTATACATAACACATCTTAATTTTTTCTGTGTCCTTTTATTCACTCTTGTGTCTCCTCTATCTCTTGATCTTCTCTCCTTTTTCAAAGACCTATTGTCCTGTTTCCTATTATCTGTCTTTTATTGTGTGTCTTTATTTATACTTTGGATTTCTCATATCAAAGAAATCACATGATTCTTAAGCTTGTGTGTCTGATTGATTTCACTTTATGGTCTCAAGGGGCATTCATTTTTCCACAAATGACTCTCATGGCCTTTGGCCAATGAAGCAGTGCTCCATTATGTATAAATGCTGGATAAATTTCTTCATCCAGTCATCTGCTGGTGGACATATAGGGAGCTTCCAAGATTTAGCTATTTTGAGTTGTGTGGCTATAAACACAAGAATGTTATATCACTGTAACATGATATCTTTAACTCTTTTGGGTAGATACCTAGAAGGCAAATAGGTAACTTGAATGGAATTTCTAGTTTTAGTTATTTGAAGACTCTCCATGCTGATTTCCATTGTGGTTGTAATAGTTACTTTCCCATTAACAATATAGAAACCTCCCCCATTCCACCTTGTAGCCTTGCCTACCTTTGTTATTTGATTTCTTAACTATAGCCATTCTTTTTGGAATAATACAGAATCTCAGGATTCTTTAAGGCCAGAGATGTTGAACATTTTTTCATGTATTTATTGGCCATTTATACTTCTGAGGTATGTTTGATTTCAGTTTCCTTTTTTGATGGAGTTTTATTTTGGGAGCTGTTACAGTAATTTTTTTAAAAAAAATCTTCATGTATTCTAGATACAAGTTTTTAACTAGCAAAAAAATGTCTCATTCTGTATGTTATCTCTTTATTCTGTTGGTTGTTTCCTTTGCCGTGCAGAAACTTTAATATGATGTAATCCCATATGTTGATTCTTCATGTTAGTTTTTGTGCAAAAAAGTTAGTTTTTCTGCTCAAAAAGTCCTTGCTTATACCTGTGTCTTCAGAAGTTCTACTTTTTTTTTAGGTTTTACTTGTTTTATCTTCCAGCAGATCGTTTCTCTTTTCATACTTAGATCTTTGATTTTGGTTTAGTATATAGTAAGAGATACAGGTCTAGATTCCGTCTTCAGCATGTGTGTAGCCAGTTTTCCCAGCACCACTTGTTGGAGACTTGTTTTTCATCCAGCCTATGGTTTTGGCCCCTTTGTCAAAGATCAAATGACTGATTATGCCTAGGGTTTCTATGTCCTCATGCTGCATGGCAGTTTTGAGCCAGTACCATGCTGTTATCACCATAACTTTGCAACATGCAGTAACTGGGATTGTGATGCCATCAGCTTTCTTCTTGCCCAGGATTGCTTTTGCTATCTCATGTATCTTTTGGTTCCTTATGAATAGTAGTATTGTTTCCTGTAGTTCTGTAAGGAATTCTATTAGTATTTTGATTGGGATTGTACTAAATCTGTCAATTTGGAAGTATGTCTATTTTGTCAATATCTTCGTTCATGAGCTTGATTCTTTCAAGATTCTGGTTGCAAACTAACTTGGATGAAAATCAAATCAAATTCAATGGTTAGGTTCAGTGTTGACCTTCTGGGGAAATTTGATTCAGTTCTCACCAGTTTGGTATCTCTCCATTTTCTGATGTCCTCTTCCATCACCTTTTTCAAAATACTACAGATTTCATTAAAGGTATTTTTTACTTTTTTATGTTAGATTAATTCATATATATATTGTATTTAATTTTTCTTGTAGCTATTGTGAATAATAATTGACTTCCTAATTTCTTTTCAGTGGGTTTTATTATTGGTGTACAGGAATGCTATTAATTTGTTTGTTTTTTGGGTACCGGCAGTCGAACTCACAACCTTGCACTTGCCAGGCAGGCACTTACGCTGTTAAGCTAAAATCCCTGACTCTAATGCTATTGGTTTTTATATGTTGATTTTCTATCCTGCAGCCTTATTGAATTTATTAGATCTAGGAGTCTTTTGGTAGAATTTTTTTTGGCTTCTATGTAAAAAAATTCATGTCATTTGTTACTAAGGATAATTACTAAGGAAAGGACTTCTTCCTTTCCTATAGGTATTCCTTTTCTTTGTCTTACCTGATTGGTCTGGGTAAAGTTTCAAATACTGTATTGAACAGGAGTGGTGGTGGCTGACATCATTATGGTCTTGTTCCTGTTTTTAGATGAACAGGTTTCATATTTTTCCCCATGTACTCCTTGGAGCATAAGACTAATTTTGTCATCAGGTACATAAATGTGTTTCAGAACCATGTTTATACTTTAGAATGTTTCTTTTGATGAATTATTAATTATAATTTTATGAGTCATATTAAACAGTATGTACTTAACAGGAAAGAAGTCTACAGAAATTAAGTGTTGAGTTTTTAATATTGTTATATAAAAAACGTAATTTTCAGCATTGGTTTTTGGTGTGCAGAGTCTTTGAAAGAACATCAGAAATACGTTTCCATGTGAACTACAATGAAAATTATAGTTTTATGAGTCATATTACATTAAACAATCTGTACTTAACAGAAAAGAATTCCACAAAAATTAAGCATTGAGTTTTTAATATTGTTCGTATAAAAACCTCAAAATTTTCAGCATTGGTTTTTGGTGGGCAGAGTTTTTGAAAGAACATCAGAAATAAGTTTCCATGTGAACTACAATGAAAATACCAATAGAACTGTACAAAAAAAAAGTTACTCTTTACTTCAGTTATCACACCTGGTGTAATCTTCACACGTGACAATAGTACCTTCCATACTTGTATCACTTACACTGACAGCACATATGTTTTGGTTTCCTGGCCTTTGTATAGGATATGCCTGTTGTTTTGCTGGTCTTGCCGTTTTTTTAGGAGGTTCCTACTGTATTATTATAATGTATAGTTAACAGCAACATAAAATATCAGTAAAATTGTTAAATTCTTAATATGTATTATGCATTTAAAATAAACATCAATATTTTAACATCAGCAGTGTACTTGCTTACAAAAACTAAAAGATATATCAGAAATAAATTGCTGTATGACCTACAATGAAAATACCAATAAAACTACAACAAATATAATCTTTGCTTCAGTGGCTATATCTAAAGCAGTCTTCACACATGACAGCTGAATGTTCCGTGCACATATTTCACACTGACAGCACATGTGGTTGGCTTTCCTTTCCTGTATGACAAGCCATTCTTGTGACCTCTCCAATCTTCCTGTTTTATCAGGAGCTTCCTACTATATTGTACGTTGTGTGCAGGAAAAGAAAATATCACTAAAAACAAATATATAATGAGTGCTTAGAACAGACAGAACATTTTCATATCAGCTGTTTAATCTGCTTCCAAAACCTAAAAGATAACATGAGAAATAAAAACCTATGTGAACTTTAATACAAATAAAAGTCTACCACAGAAATAATTCTTGCTTTGAACTGTCATGTCCCAGGCAGTCTTCACACATGAGAACTGCATGTTACATACACAAGTATCATTTACACTGATAGCACATATGTTTTGTTTTCCCTTCCTTTCCTGTAAGGCACAGTTGATATCTTTTTATTTGCCTGTTGTCATAGTAGGTCTTTGTGATGCTGCCCCTGCCTGTTCACCTGTCACCTTACCAATGTGCTCCACAATATTTTTGTGTAGTTCCCTGGGCAGAAACATCCTATTTTTCCTCTGCTGAAAATGGTCTCTTATGAGTTCCAGTCCCAGTCCTCTAAGAAAATTTCTCCATGATATTTTTCACTTATTATTTTCTTTATGAACTGTTTATGTCACACATATTTAAGATTGAGTAAAGCACAACCTTTGGTCAATGCTTTGTTTTTCAGATCACACAGCTGCTGCGTAACTTAGTAACAATATCTACTTAACCTTTGGTTTTGTTGTTGATAGTTAACCATCTCAGGCTTCTGTTTGTCAAGGTTTCCCTATCACTATTTCCATCATGGTGAAGTGTTGACATGAGTAGTATCAGTTTGTTTTTCTTTGCCATATAGGAGGTCAGTGATGCGTCTTTCTGAAATCTAAAGGTTATACTATACAATATTCTGTTTCAAAATTGCAACATTTCATTTGGAATTTCTGTTTTGTTCTTTCATACAGTTTCTACACTGGTCAGTTTGTGCTCTTTTAACAAATGTAACATCAGTTAGAAACTGGTAAACCAGTTGTCAAATGTCCCATTCAGATTAATTTGGTAAATGGGAACAAATCTATTCACAGCACCATTTGGTTTATCATTGGTGGCTAAGTTCCATGATAAATGTCTTAAGTTGAAAGAGTAGTAAGTCTTCACATCTATAAAGGCATAAATTTTTATGCCTTTTTGTTTGCTTTGTTGTGAGACAGGATTTTGCTGTGTAGTCCAGGCTGTCATTGAACCCACGGCAGTCCTCCTACCTCAGTCTCCTGAGGGCTTGGATTACAAGTGTGCACTGCTACTCCAGCTTATTCCATATTTTGACCCATCTGGTTTCTGTAAGTTTTTTAACATTTCTGCAATTGCCATGAGAAATCCCTGCTAAGTACAGCAGACCTATGAATGCTTTCAGTTCAGCTAGTGAGGTGTCATGATAAGTACATTTTTTAATGTGACTGTTGGTATATAGAAACATTTTAATTGCATTT